CTCTCCATATCCGAACGTGCGTTTGAGGCCACTGGCGCTCTTCAACAACTTCTGAACAAGAAAGTGGCTATTAGTCCCGAGAAGTGCGCAATGTTCACATACGAGCTAAGGAAAGAGACTAGCCCCGGAATCTTCTTTCATGGCCAGCCTCTTCAGCAACACAAGGAGTTCACCTACCTGGTGCTAGACCTCGATCAAAAAAAAAAACAAGGGGCAACCTGGAGGAAGCTGGGAAGCGTGTACGATGGCTCACCAGTTCGAAAAGCAAACCTGACAAAGGATCTTCTTGTCCATCCTAGCTCCTACTTGGAAATATGGCCTACCAATTTACGGGTCAACGTCCAAAACAAACATGTAAAATATCAAAGCGTTCCAAGCTAAGTTCATGTGGCGAATTAACGGCGTGGAATGATACATCCGACATCCACACTCTTACATCCACTGAAAGCTGTTGATACCGATGGTCGGAGACAATCTTAACCAAGCAGCGAAGAGGCAATGAACATGGCTACAAAAACACCATAAGCCCCTGGCGAGACGCGAGTACGAACTATAGAACCCGCAGACTCAAGAAAATCACATTCGGGCAGCTGTTGGCCCGAAAAATATAATAAAAACGTGTTAATTAAAAAAAAAAAAAACAAATTGCTAATAAATTGGTTTATTTATTAGCCATCTCTCTTACCCTTAAAAGACAAATGCTTGGCAGGGCACTGCTGCACCGGTTAAATTCTTTACTGAACAGTACTGTATTTACATTTTTGATCGATCAATAATCGAGTCGAGCTAGCCGTGTCCGTCTGTCCGTTTCTACGCAAACTAGTCTTGGTGTGAATGAAATCGAATCAGGCCAGATCAGACGACTAAACCATATAGGTGCAATTGGAACGGTTAGAAAATTTAAAAAAAAATATATATATACAAAGGTATTCAAAAGTATTTACACTTCGACCATTTTCATAGCCAAATTTCTTTTAGTTGTTAATCTTTTTGTTGTTGACCGTTTTCCCTCAAATTTTCTTTATTGTGTAGATTGATCTATGCAGAAACGAGCCAAAAAGGATATCGAAAGTTAACGGTTCATAGAAAACTGCTATACGTAAAATAATAGATGCATCTACAGTGTAATATTTACACGTAATTTGTTTTCGTCTTAATTTTAATGCTATTAAAATTAAATAATTTTTTGTGACAATCTCATGTTACTTTATTAATAGTTAAAAAAATTTTCTTAGGTATCGATGAAGGCTTTTAATTGGTTGGAATTGTGTTTATTAAGCTATATCCAAAATAAATAGACATATATTCTTTTGCTTTTAATATTGTCCTATGAACCGTTATCTTTTGTTTTCGTTTTCTGCTTGCTTCTGAATAGATCAATTTATGCAATAAAAAAATTTCATGGAAATCGGTCAACAAAAACAATAATAACAACAATAACAATAGAATAATAACAAAAATAAGTTTGGCTGTGACAATAATTGTGAATTTGTGTAAATACTTTTGACTACCCCAGTATAACTTTTCCAATTTTTAACACCTTTCTTGAGATTGTGTCATTTTGTCTTAGAATTTCTTTTTTTTCCTCATTTTATGAAATCGGACTACTATATCATAAAGCTGGAATTGGAACGATCGGAAATTTAAAGAAAAAAATTCGTATTTGGTCGTTTTTCAACATTTTTTCATTTTCTCAGAGAAATATACATTTTCTAATGACAACTGTGACAGTTGTAGAAGCTAGAAACGAAATTAAATAATTTCGTCCAAATTAAAATAAAACAAGAAAGGAAGCTAACTTCGGCACGCCGAAATTTATATACCCTTGCAGATAGAACTTCTATGAATAGGAATTCATACAATATAAATTATATATATTTGTGTTAAAAAATAATGAAGTAATACCTGCTTTCATTTCATTCACCTATACATATTATATTTGCAGCTTTACATTCACATATTTGCATTTTTCTCCACATCTAACGATCGTTTGTATGGCACCTATATGATATAGTTGTCCGATTTTCATTAAATTTGACACAAAATTTAAGACTAATACAAAATGGCTATACCTCAAATTTAATGAAAAGCAGCTGAAAACTGAAAAAGTTATAAATTTAATTGTATTAATTTCTCGATCGTTCCTATGGGAGCTATATGATATAGTAGTCCGACTTTCATAAAATTTTATGCAAATTTGTAGAGTATAGTAAAATGGCTATATCTCAAATTTGATCCAATTTTATTAAAAACTGAAAAAGTTAAAAATTTTTTTGTAAAAATTTTCCGATCATTCCTATGGCAGCTATATGATATAGTCGTCCGATCCGGCCCGTTCCGACATATATACGAGTGAGAGTATATAGAAGGCTAACTACAAAGTTTCATTCAGATAGCTTTAAAACTGAGAGACTAGTTTGCGTAGAAACGGACATACGGACAGACGGACATGGCTAGATCAACTCGGCTGTTGATCCTGATCAAGAATATATATACTTTATATAGTCGGAGGTGCCTCCTTCACTGCGTTGCAAACTTCTGACTGAAATTATACTACCCTGCAAGGGTATAAAAATAGTGAAAACTGGAGCACCATCTATATTAAATTAAATAAAACAAAAAACAAATATTTTAGTCAACTGATAATGACATAAAAATTACTCAGTTTACATACCTTTATTGTTTTGAATATTTATTTAATTTGACGATTGGACACGATTTAAATTAAATTTATTTTGTGTAAGTTAAGCTATAAGCTGCGTTCACTGCAACGACCACCAAGGAAAGAGAACAAAAATGAAAATATATGTATAATAAAATCATTTTGACCTTTCCCCATTTTTCCAAAACAATGAATTAAAATAAATTAAATATTAAATATAAAGTTAAAACAAAAAAGAAGAAAGAAAGCTATCTTCGCAACCGCAAAGTATATATACTCTTGCATATAGAACTTCGATCACTTGGAATTTATTCAATATAAATTAAAACATATATTTATCTTAAAAAACAATGTAGTTATGCCTGCTTTTGTTCATTCACCTATACATATTACATTTACAGTTTTACATTCACAGGTTTGCATTTTTGTCTATATCTAACGATCGTTTGTATAGCAGCTATATGATATAGTCATCCGATTTTCATAAAATTAAAACCGCGAAAGTTCCTATTGCAGCTATATGATATAGTAGTCCGATTTTTTATAAAATTTTAAACAAAATTGTAGAATAATTAGAAATTTATTGAAAAAGTTATACTTTTTAACGTATTTCGATCGTTCCTGTGGCAGCTATATGATACAAGGTGAGTTCCAAAGTAAACAGGACTTTTAAAAAAAGACAGAAAAAATAGTTTTTTCGGCAAAATCTATTTATTTTATTCAAAATAGTCTCCTTCTGCTTTATTACAGCGTTTTTCACGGCCCAACAGCGTTTTAGCTCGTTGCCCGGTATGGCCGCAAGTATGCCGGTGCAAGCCTTTTGAATAACCTCTACGTCTGCATAACGCTTTCCTTTCATCGGCAAATGCATTTTTCCGAAAAGGTAGAAGTCGTACGGTGCCATATCAAGTGAATACGGGGAGTGGTTGATGGTTTAAATGTGATTTTTGGTCAAATAGTCGAACACAAGCGTCGATCGATGAAAGGAAAGCGTTATGCAGACGTAGAGGCCATTCAAAAGGCTTACACCGGCATACTGTTTACTTTGGAACTCACCTTGTAAAGTCGTCCAATTCGGCCCGTTCCGACATATGTACGAGTGAGAGTATATAGAAGACTTACTGCATATAGCTTAAAAACTGAGAGACTAGTTTGAGTAGAAACGGACAGACGGACGGACGGATGGACATGGCTTGATCGACTCGGCTGTTGATGCTGATCAAGAATATAACATTAAATTTTTTTTTTTTGGAAAACAATGATTCGATTGTACTTATTTATTTTACGTACAACCTGTTACAAATCTTGCAGTCAAAACAGCAAAAAAAATTTTATTTTTAAATGTTCCGCATGCAAAATTTTAAAAAAGTTGTCCTAGTATTCTATCAAATAGTTTTATTTAAATTTATGGAAAATATTTTTTGTTGTTTTAAATATGGTGTTATTCATCTGATAGCTAATGACAAGAAAGTATGGAAAAATTCGTAACTGAAAACTGAAACTGAGGCACCTCCGACTATATAAAGTATATATATTCTTGATCAGGATCAACTGCCGAGTCGATCTAGCCATGTCCGTCTGTCCGTCTGTCCGTTTCTACGCAAACTAGTCTCTCAGTTTTAAAGCTATCTGAATGAAACTTTGTAGTTAGCCTTCTGTATACTCTGACTCGTATATATGTCGGAACGGGCCGGATCGGACGACTATATCATATAGCTGCCATAGGAATGATCGGAAAATGTTTACAAAAAAAATTTTAGTTTTTTCAGTTTTCAATAGAATTGGATCAAATTTGAGATATAGCCATTTTACTATACTCTACAATTTTGCATAAAATTTTATGAAAATCGGACTACTATATCATATAGCTCCCATAGGAACGATCGAGAAATTAATACAATTAAATTTATAACTTTTTCAGTTTTCAGCTGCTTTTCATCAAATTTGAGGTATAGCCATTTTATATTAGTCTAAAATTTAATGTTAAATTTCATGAAAATCGGACAACTATATCATATAGGTGCCATATAAACGATCGTTTGATGTAGAGGAAAAATGCAAATCTGTGAATGTAAAACTGCAAATATAATATGTATAGGTGAATGAAATGAAAGCAGGTATTACTTCATTGTTTTTTAACACAAATATATATAATTTATATTGTATTGATTCCTATTCATAGAAGTTCTATCTGCAAGGGTATATAAACTTCGACGTGCCGAAGTTAGCTTCCTTTCTTGTTATAAATAAATTTAATTAACTGATAAAAGAGCAAGAAAAAAATAACTAACTAGAATTGAAACTGAATGCAACAATTCAAATTTGTATTTACTTATAGTAAAATGGTTGCTGCAGAAAAAGCTTTGTATAAGCGATTTACGGCTGAAACTCATGGACATGATCTTCAGGCACTCTCGCCTCCTCAAACTTTGACCGACTTTTCACCAAACTTCTGTCGAAACAACAGCCAATCGGGAGATGAGGGCAAAACTCTTTGTGATACCATCTCTAGAAAAACATTGTTTTATCTAATTGCAACTTTAAACGCATCATTTGAGCCGGATTATGACTTTACTGAAGCAAAGGTAAGAAATAATTAAGTTATTCATTCACATTAAATTTACTAATTTTTCATGGGGTAAACAAGGAGGAAAAATGTGGTTCAAAGCTATAAAATAATTAATGGACTTTAAAAAACGAATTTTTTTGGGGCATCAGTCCGTACAAAAAATAATATGTTAAAAATAATAACAAATCGTTGAATTTTGTTTATATAAGCTACGGTTTTCACGCAATTTTGCAATCGTTTTATCGAAATATTTTTTTTTCAGCTTTGATTGATTGTTTTTGTTAAAAAGCCTAGTAAAATATGTTTTAATTGTTAAATTGTTAGTCCAGAAGTAATGTAAAGATATGTAAAAGGGGCTGAGTACTTGATTGCAGTTTTAATTATATGCACTCGATTTATTTTTCCCGCGCTTTTATCATTTATTGAATTAAATAGTTTTTTTTTTATAAAAACAAAGGTACTTTTTTATATAAGGTTGTCAAAAAAAAGTCTTGCAGTATTTTCGCTAGTTGTCGCTGCAAGCGCGTAATTCTTGTTTTAATTGTCGGTTCTGGACATACTATACCTTTTTGGAAAGCTCTTTTCACACGGAAAATCGATTGATTGATTGTTAATTTTTTTGAGTAGTTCGATAGTTATAGCTTCGCAAACATGGAGCAAAATAAAGAGAAAATATGGAATATTTTACAGTACTACGATAAAGGCAAAAATGCATCTCAAGCCGCTTATAAAATTTGTGCAGTTTATGGACCTGACACAGTTTCCATTTCCACCGCACAACGATGGTTTCAACGTTTTCGTTCTGGTGTGGAGGTGGTCGAAGACGCACCACGCTCCGGAAGTCGTGTCGTGGAAAATGGCGATAAAAGCGCTGAATGGTCGAAAGAGATCAGCATAGTAGCAGCCGTAGCATTGGTGAAGCTTGGATTCACTAAGAAGCTCGATGTATGGGTGCCACACGAATTGACGCAAAAAACATTTTTGACCGTATCGATGCATGCGAATCGCCTCTGAATCGCAACAAAATCGACCCTTTTTTGAAGCGTATGGTGACTGGTGATGGAAAGTGGATCACTTACGACAACGTAAGGCGCAAACGGTCGAGGTCGAAAATCGGTGAAGCGTCCCAGACGGTGGTCAAGCCTGGATTGACGGCCAGGAAAGCTCTTCTGTGTGTTTGGTGGGATTGGTAGGGAATCATCCAATATGAGCTGCTCCCCTATTGCCAAACGCTCAATTCTGAGCTGTAATGCCAACAACTGGACCGCTTGAAGGCAGCACTTATGCAGAAGAGGCCATACTTGAGCAACAGAGGCCGAATTGTCTTCAATCAGGACAACGCCAGGCCACACACATCTTTGATGACGCGGCAGAAGCTCCGGGAGCTCGAATAGGAGGTTCTTTTGCATCCACCTTATGATATAGTTCGAATCTCGCACCTAGTGATTACCACCTATTTCTGTCCATGGCGAAAGCGCTTGGTAGCCTAAAGTTGGCCACCAGAGAGTCCTACGAAAATTGGCTCTGCGAGTTTTTTGCCCACAGGGGAGCGAGTTTTTAAGAAATAAACAGCTTAAGATATTTATTTAGTGCAAAGGTGAGCATTAAATTGAAAAATTTAATACTTTTTATAAATAAATTTAATTATCTGATAAAAGAGCAAGAAAAAAATAACTAAGACCACTGGAATTAAAACTTTATTTAACATCTAATGGTGTCCATCTATGTTGGCAGTATTCTCGGATGATTTTTTCTGTAACAAAGAGCAAATGCCTTGAAGAGTGTACATAGTGATGGTAGGTAGGCCCATTGCTGGGGCCTCCAATTAGAGCTAAGCTCCTTTTTGTTCCACTCCCTCTGTTTGTTGTTCACTATTAGTATCACCCAGAGTCAGTAAGGAAACCTAGGATTGCTGAAACTTTTAGCTTTCCTATACTTCCCAGTGACTCCATCTGGTAGTCACCAAAGTGGCGTTGGGCAGAAGCAGAGCAGATGTTCCGGTGTCTCTTGCTCTGTAGGTTGCTTACAGCTTCTACAGATTGCATTGTACGGCAGTCCCAACTTCATTGCGTGCGAACCGATCGCTCAATGTCCCGTTGTGAGTGCCGTGAACCTGCTAATATCCCGCTTGCTGTTGGATAGCAGTTCACTGGTTCGTTTCTTGTGGCAAACATTTTTTTGACCTTCTGTGCTCGGTCTTACTTAGCCATTCTTTGCTAGCTCTCGACTGCTTCCCTTATGGCTAGTGACTCAGCCTGAAAGAACGTCGCTGAGTTAGAGAGATTGAAAGTCTTTTCAATTCCCCAATTTTCAGCGAAGATCCCAGCCCCTGCGCCGCAGCTTATTTTTGAGCCATCGGTGTAGAGGGACACCTCCACTACTACTTTAACCCTACTCCAGTCTTCCCTTGATGGGTATGAGGTCGAGAATACGTTTCCGAATTTCATCTCCGCGATCATGTAGTCGGTCTTAACGTCAGTGTTAATGTCGCTGCTTCCAAGGATCTTACCGTGCCCGGCGTCGTAATCCCACCAGCAATTGCTTGCCTTCAGTCTTACTGCGCTCTGTGCTGCAATCTCCTTCACGAACAGCTCTATCGGCATTATATCTAGGATAGCGTTGAGAGCAGCCGCGGGGCATGAGCGCTTTGCACCCACGGCCCCCGCACTCGCCCGTTGTATCCGTGTCAGCTTTGTTCTGTTGTAAGCCCTAGTTAGTGCCGGCCACCATACTAGGGTTCCGTAAGTTAGTGTTGGCCGTACCACTGCTGAGTAAAGCCAATTGTTCCCAAACATTCTTCTGCAGGAGTAGAATGCAATGCGTTTATATTTGTAAGCCAAAGTAGGGGCGATAATACCCCGCCGTAGGTGTGCCTCTCTTCACAGTCCGCGTGAGGTGAGTGCCACTCAGTTCGGCTGTGATTGTCCTGCTCTTTAGCATGACCTCGATCCACTCTGATGCCTCTCTCAATACCTAACAAGTTGAGGGAGCCCAGGATAGAGTCGGGGTTCACGTTATTGAACGCGCCTTCGATGTCTAGGAAGCCGGCAATCCTTTATTGCTTGTGTTGTAATGTCTTCTCGACATGATGTAAAACTACGTGTAGCGCTGTTTCCGTAGATTTTCCCTTGCGGTACGCATGCTGCTCATCCGAGAGTTGATGTCCTTCTAGAGACTCCCGGATGTGGACGTCCAGGAGTCTCTCTAGTGTCTTCAGGGCGAAGGAGGTGAGACTTACCGTTCTATAATAAACCCCCTTCTTCCCGGTTTCGGTATAAAAATGACTTGCCTCCCTCCACAGGAGTGGGATGTGCGTCAGTCTTAAACAAGCTTCGTAAATGGCTTTTAGCCATTTGCAAATGGTATCCTTGGCTGATTGTAGCATTGCCGGTATTAAGAAGTCTGGGCCCGGGCTTTTGTACTTATCGAAAGAATCTATTGCCCACTGAATTCGCTCAGTGGTGATGATGTCTTTCGGAGGCGTATTCATTTGAGCGTTCGTTCCCTCCTCGGGTTCTGAGCTCACTCTTAGGCTTCCTGGGGGTTCTTCTTCTTAGTGGGTGTCAACTAGTAGCTCTAGTGACTCCTCAATTGTCGTCGTAGCAGAGCCGTCTGCTCTGTTGATCAGGGTAGGGCTTATGTGCCCTTTGGCGAGAAGTTTGCTTACTCTCGCCGTGTCCTTTATGCCTTCCAGTGACTCGCAGTAGTTTTGCCAGGACTCTTTCTTGGCCTTGTATACTGCCTTCTTGTAAATTTTTTGTTCTTTGTATGTTCCCCAATCCCGGGTTACATAGCTGTTGTTGAAGGACTTTCTCGCGCTCTTTCAGAGCTCGCTTAATTCCTTTGTCCACCACGGTGGGTATTGCTTCTTCGAGAATGTTAGCTTACAAGTCTTTTTGAAGGCGTTGTTCAGAATATTTCTTAGGTCCTCCACCTCTTTGTCGAGTGCCTTTGCAGTGGATATAGTCTTGATCCTCCTGCCGTTTACTTCAGATTGGAAAATTTCGCTGAAATTGTTACTGGTGTTTCTTCTTGGCACCTGTTTCTTAACTGGTGTCGTTATTTCAAAGAAAATGTATCTATGGTCTGAGAAGGAGTGTTCTGTCGATACCCTCCAGTTCTCGACCCTGTAATTATTCTGTTCTATATGTAAGGTGAGGTCTAATACCTCTTCCCAACCTTGAACATTTTCCGTGCTCGGAAAGATGAAGGTCGGCGTATTGCCCTTATTACATATTGTAACATTTCTACAAATAATATTGTCAAAGAGTGACTCACCTCTTTCGTTAGTCTCCGAACTCCCCCAGAGCGTGTGCCTCGCATTCGCCTCACACCCGAGCACCAGGGTCGTCTTCATCACTTCCACCCATTGCAGCAGCTTGACCTACCGGCTCAGGCGGGGCCGGCTCGTCATGGGCCATGTACGCCACTGCTAGGTCAGGTGTGCTGAGATTGGGACATAGGAAAGCATTAAAATGATTCTTAATTACTTTGCAAGCTCTCGACCTACCATTCGAGTTTGTGCACAGTAGTGTGTATCCTTGGATCCTTAGTCCAGCGATTTGCCCGTCCCTGGTCCAAGGTTCCTGTATAAAACCGATGCCAGCTGCGCTTCAGATTTTCGCCATCTCTGAGGTGGTGCCCAGCTGAGCCCCACCCGTGTGCTTAGATTGGGAAGTGCTTCGTCGGTCTCTGATGCAATGTGAGATGCAGCGACCAATCTCGGCCTCTGCATCTCCTTCTCGTCCTTCGTTGACAGTTTTTGGGGTTTATCCTCTCCCAAGAGTTTCGAAGCTCGGTTTGTGGAGGTCATCTCGATTCATGAACGCCCGCTTTGCTCTACCTGGCAAGCGCAGCGGGCCAGAGGGGGCTTGGGGCTTTGAAAACAGGTCGACCGCAGCTTCGTCCCAAAACTGCGGCAAGGCCACTTACGACCCAGGGTTGCCTGGCCCTGGGAAGGCTCCGTGCAGACACAGCTGGATTAACCCCTCAGCTGCGAACCTGGAAGTCAGTGTGCACAGGTCGCATAACACACCTGACTTGAGGGGAGGCTGACTAAAGACTTGCCTAAGTCCGCCCGACTAAAATTGGTCAGCATCCCCGGTCGAGCCTCGACTGGGGACCTGCTTCCAGCCGCCCTCGCTTGGAGAGTATAGTCGCACTACCGATGGTGTACACAGTTACGGCAGATGACACTGTCATCCGTTGATCCCCCTGTGCACCCTATCGGCTGACGGTCGTACATAGTGATAGAAGTGTAAAAAAGCTAATCAAATTAACTAAAAGTAGGCGTTTATATGAAGATGTTTAATATAATATATTTTTACATGTATTTCTCGGCGCATAAACAACGAAGACGACTTTCCAAAACGATAATTTGCCGTCAAAGTTTCAGTATTGAAATTGAACAGCGCTGACTTAGCGATACCGAATCACAAACAAAATAGGCTTATGATCGTTGTTAGTTGCTGGTATGTTTGGAAGCAATTTCGAAAAATTTGACCATTATATATTTTCATAATATTGATATGCCACATAAATAGTTGATTGGGTTGTATTTCCATAGAGAAGCGGATATAATGACTCTGGTGGATGCATCAAAACGGGCAAACTTTACTTTGCCAGCGGCGAAACGTAATCCATTGCAATGCTGACATATGACAGACAATGAACCAATAACAATGCATCTGAGATCTTTGTGGGAAAAAAAAAACTTCGGCGCCTTCCTATTTCAATTGTTTTTGCCATCTTCGTTTACATTTTTGCAATGAACGGTTAAATTTTCACCGACAAGAAGAACGGAAAACAAGACAGGAAGCTAAATTTGGCACGCAGATAGAATCTTACTAAGTGTATTCAAATAAACTAGAAATCTGAAAAAAAGCTGGTCCGGCGAACCTTGACTCGCCCCTAGTTGGAACTCGTGAGAGGAAATCCAAGACTCTTCTTTGAATTTACCCTTGATAATCGTTGCTGGAATTACATTGTTCAATATGTTATTGACGTACAACAGGGAGTTCAAAAATTCAATTGGTCACGCCGTCGACGGATTTGTTTGAATGCAGTTCTCCAACAATTTGACTTTGAATAATGGTTTTCAAACTATCGACGTCCTCATTATTCGCTGCTTGTATTGCTCGATCATTAATTGATTTTTTTTTATAATTTTGGGCAATGCCGGTAAAAACTTTGTTGATGAGTTCTTTCATTGATGACGTTAATTCATAAAAATTTACCGGGAACGAAGCATCAACAGGAATATTGATATTGATTCATTCATCTTGGCGTGGATGAACTGTAAATTTTTTCCTAGGGCATCAGTCGAATACGCATAAGCGAAGCCAGCAACACCGTCACCTTTCCTCCAGCGTTGATATTCTTTCGATGCATATTTAATAGCGTGACATTTCAAAATAAAGTTTTTGAAAACGGATCGCTGTTGTATGTGGAAATGGAATACGAATGAAATGCTCTTTCCTCTGCATTTGCAATGTAAACTACACGCGCTAGTAGTTCTCCAAGTAAATCGATAAATGAATCGGAAATGAAAATAGCTGCCAAATAGCCTCACCAAAACTCACGTAACGTCCAATGTGAAATTTTGTCACCTTATTTTTGCCAAAATACCAAAAATCGCAATGTCGCTACCTTTGTTCTTATATTTGCATACGTATTTGATGGAGTTGCAGTAGTCAACATAGCAGTGAGCTGAAAAAGTTTTCAACAAAATTTAACAATATTGAATGGTCCAGCTATTTTAGACATGGTTTCCGTTGGTGACCGTGAGCTACCTGCCATTATCATTTCGAGAGTGACGCCGATAAAATGGATATCCGTCATGTACACTGATTTTGTAAACACAAATAGACGGGTAAAACGCTTTGTGCATTTTCCGCTTTCCATACTTTTTTTTGCCTCGAACTCAGCAAGGGACATGGATCATGTATTTTGACAGAAATAATTGCATCAATTTGGTCTGGTCGGATCTTGTCGAGCTTCCTTGCGTGTCCTTCAGCAATGGCTTCGCGCAAGTGTATGTATTTGTCTGATTGACACGAATAAAATTAAGACGCTCCGTTTCTACTTTCACGTACATGCCGACACAATACTGTTGAAAGTAACGGCGTTATCTCGACAAGTGATTGTCAACATTTTGCCGAATCATCAATCTATACGCATAAAAATTCATTGAGCTGATGTTATTCGTTTCATCTCCTGAAATATTAATTCAAACTTATTGTGGATCGAAAAATAAATGATGACTATTAAGCAAACCTTTCGTCAGATTGACCATCTTTATATTATTAATTGTTTATTATCTCGACGTTAAGAATAATATCCCGTGATTCCACATTTTCGGCAACAAGTACCACTGCCGCTTTATTGATTGTGGAAGCATTGAATTGTCTTGCATGGCTTCCAGCGGGTCTTTATATTATAATGCAATAGCCATCAGTATATCTCTATATTAATGGGAGAGCCATCTACTACAGAAAATCAATAGAAATTAAAGTGCATCATATGATCGATCGTTCTCGTTCACGCGATGCAATTGTTCACTATACCGAAGTTTAAGAATAATATCCCGTTATTCCACATTCCACAGCGGGTCTTTTATCTACTCTGATAATGATTTGGTGGTCATCTGCATGCATTGTATATAACGGGTTTTTAAACACTCTGATCGATTCATTATGTTCATGGAGAAGATTTTTCAATTCCTCAATAAATTGTCGTCTAGTTTCAGTAAAGATTGCTGATTTAGCTGTATCACCAACACAATACATCTGAAGGAATTTATGATCTTTGTTAGTTAATGATAATAAAGTGCACGCTCGATGGTGAATTTGTCCTTGAATCTGAATGTCTGGAAGCAATTTCGCAATTCGAAATTTTAATTAATGTATTTTATGTTTATTTTTTTTATTATTATTATGTCTAAAGAATATTGTGCCAAAATTTCAAGTCAATTAACATAAAATTGACGAAGTTATGGGTATTTTTATACTTGCCGGATTTTCGTTTTACACTGGACTTTTTTGCACAGCTCACGTTTTCAAAGTCGGTGCCAATCATAAATTCAAAACTACTGCACCGGTCCTTTTGAAATTTTAAACGCTATTTCTGTACATATTTTGCGAGGTAACGCTGTCGAGTTTTTTTGTTCTTAAATCAGGCGGTTAAAAATAAAAAAAAATCGAAAGCGTTACCTGGGGTATTCTATAATCTAACGAATGATTTCCGATGATCCAGCAGTTATGATTGGCATCGCAATTAAATTTTTTCGAGACACGTCCGGACAATTGCTACCATTGCCTTATTTTTTAATATTTCTTTATAAAAATTGTATAAGACATTTTTCGAATGTTATGCTTTAATGTACCATTCGTTAAATAAATACATTTTAACTGTATCATCGAGAAAAAATCACAAAAACATGACATTTTTCGCATTATTTGACCTATCACATAGCTTACTTTGATAGTTTTGATCTCCAATGCTACTGTGTACGTTAAAAGTGTGTTGCCAACATCTGTTGAGGCCCTAAAGAATTTTCGGGAGGGTTTTCCAAAATTTTTTAGCAACAAAAATTCGCCTGGCAAATTTTAAACAATTTAAAAAAAAAGAGGTTGCAAATCGGTTCAGCCGTTCTCAACTGATGTAAGAATACCAAAAATGTACTGTATTTTACAATTTAGGAAAGAGTATACCGAAGAAGACCGACATTTTTTTTGGGTCTACTTTTAACTTTTGCGCCTTCCTATTTCAATTGGTTCTGAAATCTTTGCTTATATTTTTGCATACAATGGTTAAATTTTTACCGACAAAAAGAATTTAGAGTTGCACAGAAAAATATCGCCCAATGATGAAAAAGAAAATTAGACTTACAGAACGGAATAATATAATGCACCATCCGTTCTACGGATAGTGATTGAAAAATGAATTTCTGTGGGAAAATACTATAAAAGCAAAAAATAAAATTTTTTAAACATTTCGATAACAAACCGATTGCAAAAATTAAGTGAAAACAGGAGAAGATAAAACCGAAATCGTAAAATTTGCTAAAAATAATAATGAATATAACGTTTGATGATTTGTATTTTAGTAAAAAGCATGTAAAGTAATTTGAACGCACACTATTGTGTATAATATTCTTGTTTATCATCCAACAGATATTACATTAAAATGTTTGTCAAAATTGATGAACAACTGTAATAGGAAAAACAGGAAAGTGGCCTGTTTCAGTCTTTACTCGAAGTTTATAACATTATGAATTTTTCTTGAACAAATAGATTAAAGGGTATTTTATCCGATATAATATTCGGCTTCCGAAGTTTTTTTTCTTTTCTAGTTTCTTAGACGTTTTATACATTTTATTTAAAGTCGCATGAATTTAGCAAAGAGCCATCATTACAGTGGGTTATGAACTCAATCCATTCGAATTTATCGGCATTAGCTGGAGATCAGTACCAAGTTTTACGCCAGCCGTTATGGTCAGCTGTGGATGACGAAGTAAATTTATCAGATTGTGACATATACAGTTATAATCCGGATCTAAGCTCCGACCCATTTGGGGAGCCAGGCTGTTTATGGTCTTTTAATTATTTCTTTTACAATAAGAAATTAAAACGGATTGTGTTTTTTACAAGCAGAGCAGTAAAGTATGTACATTTGTTTGTAGTTTAAAAATTTAACTATTCTGAATATTCTCATTTCAGCTCACTTTATGCTAGTGAAACCTTGGATTTTTCGATGGAAGACGAAGTATATTAATTTATTGATTAGAATTGGTTAAAATTGTTTAATGTACTCGTGCTAATAAATATAATGTATTCTCTAAAAAAGAGCCAGGAAAAATATATTTAGAGTAAAATAAAGAATAAGAGAAAAATTAAAAAAAAAAAAAATTATAAACATAAACATGCCTTACCTCGGCCCAGCCCTTGACCTTAGCATTAATTTAAAGGGTGCTGAGATCGAGTGCTAGCAAAGATTCTGTGCCCAAATGTGCCGCGGGTGATATCTGTTTTGTCCCCTGGGGGGTCCCAAACACTGAACCCTCAAAAACCCGTAACTATAAAATATCCGACCAGGCCCGGACTACCGGCCGACAATGGTACGGCAGATAACCAATCTGCCTTGCCAAAGCTCTTAAAGCTGTTTCACCTATCAGTCATACATATATCTGTTTCGCGGCACTCCCCTGCACAAACATCGGAATATGTTTATCCAAGACAAAACTAGAGCCGAACGTCTCAAAATAAAGATGGAAAAAATTAAAAAAAAAAATTGTAATGCTAGAGACAATTAACCTTTTAAAATAAATGTCTTTCACTAACTTTTTGGCACAACTGGCTTTAACAAATTCTGGCCAAAAGACGTTTTTGTCAAGGAGTTCGAAGTTATGGAAAAGCGGACTGTAGAATTTACTCTTCCTAAGCCTGATCAGACCACTGCGCCTTCTACGTCTCCCAATCCTGATCCAAAAAACTAACCTCACTCAACCCCTCACTCACTCCAGAATTATTATCTTTCGAGGAATGCAACGATGTTGAATTCCTTCGTGTGAAGCTATCTATCAATGGTAGCTCCATTTTTATTACCTGTTCCTACATACCTACATTGTCGGAACTTCCTATTTATTGGAACCACCTTTCCGCTATTCAGATGGTTTCCAGTAGACTTTTGGATAGAGGCCAGTTAGTAGTCCTAGGTAATTTTAATCTCAAATAATTCCATCAATACTCCTAACTTCTACCACTAAGCAAGAAACACATAGAGGTGTCAAACAGTACCAAAAAGTACTATCACAAAAACGGCTGAGCCTGGAACCCCAGAGCACCCGAACGATATGTCTAGAACCCCAGAGTGCCTTCGGCTTTTTCGAGTTCGAAGCAGTCGTTCGAAACCGAGCACAACAAGAATTCACTTTTCAGTGGCAGATCGACCGTGGAAGGATGAGCAGGGGTGCGTTTCTTTGCGATGTGCTTTCGTTTCTGTGTATATGTGTATATGTGTACAAGCGCTCACACGTTTGCATGCGTGTTCAAATTTCAGCATGCAGAGTCTTTTTCAAAGATTTTGGACGACCACAGCCAGTGGGCCGAAGCGGTGGCTCACTTGCTTATGACGTCACAGCAATACTTAGCCTCTAGCGCTTGCATTGGGGGACAAATTATTTAAGTTATTTCACTATAATTACTACTTATTTTAATTTAAGTTTCTTTTCTGACTATATTTCCCAAAAGGCATTTTGTTGATGAATCATCGATGAATTGTTCATGAATTTGTTAATGAATTGTTGATGAATCATCGATGAATTGTTGATGAATGATCGATGAATTGTTGATGAATGATCGATGAATTGTTGATGAATCATCGATGAATTGGTAATGAATTTTTATTGATGACAGCCTATGACATGCCCATGTTAAATTCATCAACAGTTTGTATGGCCTGTCATCGATGAATCATCAACAGCACACTTGACTGTTGATGAATTACTGATGACAGGTACTGCAGGGTATGTTGCTGTTGTCTATGCAAGTGATTTGCGCGTGTCACTTTTTGTTTTGTTTTGATTTTCTAAGATTCTTTGATTTGTTTTGATTATGCTTACATACATATGTATGTCAATATCTATGTATGTATTGATGTACAGATGTATGCATATTTGGGCGCGCTTTTTTTTTGGCGCACTTTTTTGTTGTTGCTTAGCAAATGAAAAAAAATTAAATTAAATAAATAAATACTTTAATAAAAATGCCTTTTGGGAAATATAGTCAGAAAAGAAACTTAAATTAAAATAAGTAGTAATTATAGTGAAATAACTTAAATAATTTGTCCCCCAATGCAAGCGCTAGAGGCTAAGTATTGCTGTGACGTCATAAGCAAGTGAGCCACCGCTTCGGCCCACTGGCTGTGGTCGTCCAAAATCTTTGAAAAAGACTCTGCATGCTGAAATTTGAACACGCATACAAACGTGTGAGCGCTTGTACACATATACACATATACACAGAAACGAGAGCACATCGCAAAGAAACGCACCCCTGCTCATCCTTCCACGGTCGATCTGCCACTGAAAAGTGAATTCTTGTTGTGCTCGGTTTCGAACGACTGCTTCGAACTCGAAAAAGCCGAAGGCACTCTGGGGTTCTAGACATATCGTTCGGGTGCTCTGGGGTTCCAGGCTCAGCCGTTTTTGTGATAGTACTTTTTGGTACTGTTTGACACCTCTATGTGTTTCTTGCTTAGTGCTTCTACACGACATGACTTTATAGCTGGATTCTTTGACATTTCGCTGTCTTAAGTCAACCAGGTACGAAATTCCTTACAGCGCTTGTTCGATCTTTGTTTTGTCACTGATCCGGCAAGAGTCAGTTTCATTCATTAATTTCTTCCCATAGTTCAATTGTTCTCATAGGTTACTTGCGCACAATAAAGTCAGCAGACAATCTCACTTGTCATTGGATATATGGGAATGTGGTAACGCTGTTAAAAACCCTTGCATCGTGGACTGCAGCTCCTATAGAGCCTGACCAGACTCTTGGAATATGGAACTCAAGTTAAAAAAGAGCTTGAGTTAGCTGTTGTATAGAAGTCGTTTATTTGGGAAACGGTCTTGAAGCGCTTACCACGCCGAAGTGAAATCGTAATTCGTAAGCGAGGCCGTTGGCTGGGTTGCGGTCGTTGGCTGGTCTGAGGATGCCATTTTCTTGCTAATTGCGCGTGTCACCCTTAGTAACTCATTTCCGAAAGTGGAGGGATTCTCTGGCTTTATTGCGAGCGAAGATTGGCCAGGTGCTTTCCCCAACGGTTGGGAAATGACAGTTCGAGGTGTGGTCTTCGGACTTGTCGATGGATCCCTTCCTTTAGGAGTGGAACGCTGAGGCAGTTTTTACTTTCGGACTTGCATGCTGGCTTAGCGCTAGACGATAGCGTAGTGGATTTGTTGGCTTTGGCTTCTTTTCCTGGCGCCTGTTTTCTACATTTTTTAATTTATTTATTCATTTAAAAAACTTTAAAATTTGTTCAATGATTACCACAATTTTTCTTAGCATAACTTTTTGCATTTCCCCTAAAAGTATGTTACGTGTCTTTCCTTCCGGCTGTTGCCTCGTCAATCTATAATTAAAATTCATATGTATACACATATGGATATTAGAATCAAATGGACAATATTAAATATATACCCCAATTAAGAAGAAAACAAATACTGGATATATAATCTCCTTCCCTTTACACTGTCTAGGTTAAAAAAGAGTCCAGGTTCAAAAGCAATTCTGTAAATGAATTTATTAACTGAATACAAATAAGTCACTTAGCAATATTTAATAAATTACATTGGAAAACACTTGTGAATACTTCAGCTGTCATTAGAGCTGTGAAAAAATCGATTTCACTAACGAGACTATCGATTCTTTTTTTTTCGTTAAATAATATTTTTCATCATCTCAATCTAATTTCGGAACCACTGCTCCGAATTCCTTCAAAAACAACAATTAATTGTTTGGCAGTATTCGAATTTTCATTGCCTACTATGTTTCGGAGTTCTCTTACCGAAACCCATGAGATTTGTTTTTGTTTTTAGAGCAAGGCACCAGGAATCGGACAGGAAAGGAATTTTGGTACTAATGGGTATGTTCTGACTAGACGCACGGCACCGGTAACCGGTCTACTGGAACAATAATAGGGCCTCCAATTAGAGCTAAGCTCCTTTTTGTTCCACTCCCTCTGTTGTTGGTGGTCCTGATCACCATCAGTACTAGAAGGCAAGTTTAGGTTACAGTGGTGAGGCCCAATACTAGGGCCTCCAATTAGAGCTAAGCTCCTTTTTGTTCCACTTCCTCTGTTTTTTATTGGTGGTCCTGATCACCATCAGTACCAATCAGAGTCAGTAAGGAAACCCAGGATTGCCGAAACTTTCAGCTTTCCTATACTTCCCAGTGACTCCATCTGGTAGGCACCAAAGTGGCGAAGTCTGATATGATTAAGCGCTGGGCAGAAGCAGAGCAGATGTTCCGGTGTCTCTTGCTCTGTAGTTTGCTTGCAGCTTCTTCAGATTGTATTGTGTGGCAGTCCCATCTTCATTGCATGCAATCCGGTCGCCAAATGTCCCGTGGTGACTGCCGTGATCCTGCTGATATCCCGTTTGCTTTTGGATAGCAGTTCACTGGTTTGTTTTTTGTCGTACCTCGGCCAACATTCTTTTGACCTTCTGTGCTCACTCTTACTTAGCCATTCATTGTTAGCTATCTGCTTGAAGTGGTCATGGATCCTTGTCTGGATCGCGTTTAGGGAGATCGGTAATTCGAAGTCTGATCCCTGCCGAGCCTTGTCATTTCCCGGGACTTCGTTGTGTCCCGGTACCCAGGTTACTTGTACCTCATTAATATCAGCAAGCCGTAAGTTTTCTTCACGGCAGTTAGGGATTTTATAGCCCCGTGGCTATCCGAATAGATCCGCACTCTGGTGTCCCTGGGGTATTGTCTGAAGGAGAGTTCGACTGCTTCACTTATGGCTAGTAACTCAGCCTGAAAGACCGTCGCTGAGTTTGCGAGATTGAAAGCCTTTTTAATTCTCCCAATTCTCAGTGTAGATATGAGTTCGAGAATGCGTTCCCGTATTCGCCGTATTCCCTCCAGCAATTGCTTGCCTTCAGCTCTGTGCTGCAATGTCCTTCACGAACAGTTCTATCGGCATTATATTCAGGATAGCATTGAGGGCAGCCGCGGGACATGAGCGCATTGCACCCGCTCTCATGCTCGTTGTATCTGTGTCAGCTTCGTTCTGTTGTAAGCCCTAGTTAGTGCCG